CCGCCCCCGGGGGATGGGGGGCGCCCCGATCCGGCCTGGGGCGGGTGGTGCGGGAGGGGGCGCCCGGGGATGCACCCGTGCACCCCGGGATGGCCGCGAGGCGTGCCCTCCTGAGGATGCTCCGGGGAGGTGTGTTCTGGGGGGCGGGAGGTGGAGGGTGAGCTGTGTTGTTGGGGGCCCTGGCTCAGCACACCCACGTTCTTTAGGGCCAGAAAGGGGAGGCGCCTTGCTTGTGGAAGAACTGAAGGCCTGCTTGATACCTGGGGTGGGGAGGATAGCTGAGAAGAGGGTTAGGCTTTAGATGGGGAGGGGGCTTTGTGTCTGCCATTGGGGATGAGTCTATGAATACAGAGGCTTAAATTCGGTAGGCCACCATAAGAGAAAGTTGTATATTTCACGGGAGACATAGGCCCGGGCTGGTTGTCTGTTGGGAGGGGGGTGCAGAAAGAGAAAGTGTGTGTTAGAAGGAGCCAGACGAGGAGGGGCATGTGCTTGGATCAGGGGACAGATGGAGGGGAGCGTGTTCTCCAGGGGCGGGGAGCGAGGCTTGGCCCTCCTAGAAACAGGCTCAAAGAGCCTTCTTTAGGGCCCCAGTGCTGCCTTCTGCTAGGTGAGCAGCTAGCAGGTGCAGGGGACCACAGAAGCAAAGGGGGTGTGTATTGTATTCGTGGGGGTGTGTGGGGTTCCGCTAGAGGGCCGATGAGGGGTTATAAGAGATGAGAGGGTGACCTGAGTGGGGGCGGGGGAAATGCTGGGAAGGCACAGGGTGAAAACACCACTCCCCCAAGAGTCAGAACAGAGGGTGGAAATGTTTTCCGCACAAACACCTGAGGAGGACGCGAGACAAAGGCCTGGAATGAGAGGCAAGCTGTCCAAGCATGGAAAATGGGACAGAGAGCGGAGGGGGTAGTCCTCGGGGATCTGAGCAGACATATTAATTGAAAAATTAAAAATTAACTAACATTTGTAGAGGCCTTCATAGTTTGGTTCACTTAGGTCTCACGACAACTCGGTAAGAGAGGCGGTTTTTGTTTTGTTTTTGTTTTGTTTTGTTTTGTTTTTAATTGTAGAAGAAACTGGGGCCCCGAGAGAGGCCCAGAGGCAAAGCCTGGACCGGGCCAACGTAGGCCCCTCCACCTGTTGGTCCCCACACCCCTGCCGGTTGGGGACTCCCGGGTGCCTTTGACTAGGCCTGTGATGTTGTGTTATGGTGGACTCCTGGGTGACCCTGGGCAGTTTGAGCCCAGGCCTCTTAGCTCTCCTCCACTGGCAGTTCCAGGGTCTGCAGCTGGAGCGGGATGCCTGCTTGGCCTCTAACTACGCGCTGGCTAAGGAGAACCTGGCCTTGCGGCCCCGCCTGGAGATGGGCCGGACTGCCCTGGCCATCAAGTACCAAGAGCTCCGAGAGGTGGCCGAGAACTGCGCAGACAAACTGCAGAGACTGGGTGAGGGGAGGCGCAGGAGACCTGCCTGGGGTGGGGTTGGCTTTCATTTGTGCTGGGTTCCTAAGGGTGGGGCTGGGACACGGCTACTTCCGGACAAAATCTGAAGGGAGCTGATCTTGGCCTTCTGGAAAGTGAGATTGTGAGCTGTGGAGGAGCAGGCGTGGAAAGCTGGGCTGGGTTCCCGTGTGTAATCCCCGTACTTGGGAGGCAGAGGCAGATGGATCACAAAACTTCAAGATCATCCCTAGGCTCCATAGTGAGTTCTGGGCCAGACTGTGCTGTCTCTTGAGGGGCCTCAAACACAGAAACAAACAGCTGGGTTGAAGAGGCCTAATGGAGCCAGGCGGTGGTGGCACATGTCTTTTTAACCCCAGCACTTTGGAGGCTGAGGCTGGTGGATCTCGGTGTTCTGATTTTGGGGCCAGCCTGGTCTACAGAGCAAGTTCCAGGACAGCCAGGGCTACACAGTGAAACTCTGTCTTGAACCCCGCCTCCTCCCTCAAAAAAAGGAAAAGAAAAAGAAGTGGTGTGATGGAGGTTCTGAGTAGTAAAGAAAGGAGGCCCAAGCTGGATATGGAGGCATAGGTCTATAGATTCACCACTTGGGAAACAGACGTAAGAGGATCAGTAGTTCAAGGCCAAACTTGGCTACTGAGTGAGTTTGAGGCCGGCCTGGGTTACCTGAGACAAAGAAAGAAAAAGAAGAGAAAAGAAAGAAAAAGAAAAAAGATGAAGGCTGATGACATTGATGACATGGTCCACTGAGTAAAGGCACTTGGTGCCAAGCTTGAGTTTGATCCCTGGGACCTCCATGGCAGGAGAAAACCAGCTCCCATAAATTGTTCTCTGACCTCCACAGCTATGCAGTGGCGTCAGTGTGCCCACACAGACTACACACGAGAAATAAATATGCATTTATTTATTATTATTTATTAAAATAAAAATGTAAGCAGCTTTTAAAAACCCAACACCCAAACAAACAGAAAACAAGAAAGGGGGGCTGGAGGGCAACTCAGTGATTAAATGAGTGTACTGGGTGCTCTTCTAGGAGACCTGGGTTCTATTCCCAGCACCCCACATGGCAGCTCACAACTGCCATGTCTGATCTCCACGGGTACTAGGCACTCACATGGTACACATGCATACATGCAGGCAAAACAAACGTGCACATTAAATAAAATTTGTAAAAAGGAAGGAAGAAAAGAAAAACAAGAACCTAGCCTTGAACCCTGCAGTACCTCCCCCCACCCCCGTGATCAGTCTCGACTTTATCTTTTTACTCTAGGGTGAAGGCCTGCCTCACGTCTGACCTAATTAATGGGCTGGGTGACGGGGCCTGGGTGTGGCAATGGGGAGGGTATCTGTCCATAAACGCCCAGTAGTGTCCACGTTATTTACAGAAGCTCAACCAGGCATGGTGGTGCATGCTTATGATCCCTGCACTCAGGAGGCTGGGGAGTACCACATTTGGCTGGCCAGCCTGGGCTGCACAGTGAGACCTTTCTCAAGTGATGTGATGATGGTAGTGGCTGGAGAGATGGCTCAGCAGCTGGGAAGGACTGGAGTTGGCTTCTCAGTAGCCATGTTGGGCAGGTCTGACAACCTCTGGCCTCTCAGGATCCTGAATTCTGTCAAATGCACATACCCATATGCAGATACATACTCATAATTAAAAGTATTTTATTATAAAATAATAAAATATATTATTTTATTTAATATAAATTATATTTAATAATATAATTTTATTATAAAATAAAATCTTTTTAAAAAAGAAACAACAGTAGAAAAACAAAAAATAAGCTGAACTTGTTTGTGCATGCCTATAATCTCAGCACTTTGAGGTCTAGAGACTGGAAGATCGGGGTCAAGGCTAGCCTGGGCTACACAGCAAGTTCAAGGTTAGAGGCTGTAAGAAACCCTGCCTCAAACAAAACAAAACAAAAGTTAGGATTTGGAGGTCACTGAGATGGGAACTGTAGAGTCACCTGCGGTCAATGGGAGAGTCAGAGTCCCTGTCTGTCCCCCTGTGGTCCTCAGAGGAGAGCATGCATCGCTGGAGCCCCCAATGTGCGCTGGGCTGGCTGCAGGCTGAACTGGAAGAGGCTGAGCAGGAGGCTGAGGTGAGGGGTAGAGGCGGCTGGGTCCAGGTGAACAGGGAGGGAGACCCATCTTGTCCCATTGGGGTTGTCATTACATCAAAGACTTGGGACCGTCTCCTCTAAGAATCCCACCATGATTTCCTACAGAACTTTCCAGAATGGCAGAGTTTGATTTCCTAGGAATGTCTACAGACGTTGGAGGGCAGGGTCCGCTGAGTAGGAATGCCCCCCGTTCCTTTGGGCTGGGTTGGGAGTGGATACTAAATGGGTTGAAAGGCCTGAGACAGCCCCTCACTGTGGAAAGAGGGTGGACCCTGTCCTGGGCCAGGTTGGAAGCTCAGGGCCTCTGCTGGCTGGTCACCGTGGGGGAAGAAGGACTCAGTCTCTGATCGGATTGCCTCCTCCCAACTTTCCCTTTCCCTCCTGGACACTCCCAGATCCAGATGGAGCAGCTGCTGCTGGGGGAACAGAGCCTGGAGGCCTTCCTGCCAGCCTTCCAGAGGGGCCGTGCCCTGGCCCACCTGAGGCGGACCCAGGCAGAGAAACTACAGGAAGTACTGAGGCGTCGGGAACGCTCTGCCCAGCCGGCTCCCACTACTGCTGCTGCTGCTGCTGCCGCCACCGCCATGGATCCCCCCAAACCCTTCCCTGCTGCTGCCGTCCTGCCCACTGGGGCCGCCCGGGGACCACCTCCAGCCGTACCCCGGAGCCTGCCCCCCTTGGACTCCCGCCCAGTGCCCCCACTGAAGGGCTCCCCCGGGTGCCCTTTTGGCCCAGCCCCTCTGCTGAGCCCTCGACCCTCTCAGCCTGAACCCCCTCATCGGTAGGAGCCAGGGTACGGCCTCCCAGCGGGGGTCCAGACAAACTTGATTCGTGGCTCCTCCTCCTCCCCCACTGTCTGGGTGGGGGGAGGGGCAGGCCCCTCCCCCTAGCCTCAGGCAGGCCCAGGGCCCTGGAGGCTGAGCTGGGGAAGAGGGGCTCCCCGAAGAGGCCCGTAGAGGGCTGGGGGGGTGGGTGGGCAGGGTGCTGGACCTCGGTCACCAAGGAAACTCTGCCTTTTTATTTTATTTTATTTCGTCTCCCCGGTCCTCCAGGGTGTCAAACCAGGTCCTCAAATGAAAAGAACTTTATGAGGGCCTGCTTCCCCCAAGGGGTCTTGCTTGGGGGGGCTGTCGCTCCCTGCCACATTACTGGGCTCGAACTTATTGGCCAAGGCTTACTGGATTGTTCTCCTCCTGAGCTAACCCTTCCCGCAGTTTGGGGGCCCTCCGCCTAGGAGCCAGGTGGTCATGCCCCAGCTGCGGTCCCAGGGACACCCCCAAGGGCCTTGCAGCTGGCCCTGGGACAAAGTAGGACAGAGGCTTCTGACTTGCCCAGGTGAGAGCCGGCCATCCCCAGGAAAGACCGGTCTGTATTTTTCTGTCCCTGTCTCCTTAGAATGGAACCTTTTTGAGGGCAGGTCCTTGTCTTTGTATGTTCTGTCCCCAGCCCCGCCTCCTAGGGGCTGTCAATAAATGTGCTGATGGATGACGGTGATGATGCCCGCCTCCTCTCTCCTCCCTCAGCCGACCTTCTCAGCTCCTCTGGCTCATCCTCCCTTGGAGCTGTCCTTTTCCCTGCCCATCCAAAACTCAACTGACCTGCAAGGCCGATAGACGCCTCCTCCTCTGAGCTGCTTGGTTTCCAAAGAGCCTTTTCTAAGCCTTACTTCCCAGCCTGGCCAGAAGCGACACCGCCTCCTCCTCTGTCACCAGTGGCCTCACCTGGCTGCACCTTCTTTTCTAGGATTGCTTGCCTTCTCATCAGGATGGTACCGTATCTTCTCCTGCCACACCATAGCCTCCGCTGGTGATACACCTTGGATGGGTGTCAGAGGAGGGGCTCTCTTAGGAATGCAGGCATCTGTCCTCCACTAGGGACACATTAAGTGACCACTTAGGCTGCTGGATGTGGGGCAAGAAGACTGGCAATGTCGAACGTCGGGAGAAGGGGCAAAACTGTGACCCCACCCAGAATGTGGGAGGCTGAAGCAGGAAGATCGGAAGTTCAAGACTCGGAGCTGGGGACATAGCACAGTTGGAAGAATGCTTGTGTAATACGCAGGAAGCCCTCGGTCTGATCCCTAGCACCCCCTAAACCAGGCATGTTGGATGATACCAGTAATCTAGCACGTAGGAGGTGGAGGCTGAAAGATCAGGAGTTCAAGGTCATTCTCGAACATGACGAAGTGGGTCTGAAGCTGGCTAGGCTGCTGTCTCAACAAACAAAACCCACAAAACTACATTCAAGGCCAGCCTAGGCGACATAGAAAGTTCAAGTCCAAACTGAATACATGATGAGGCCCTGTCTTTGGAATAATGCAGCAGTAGCATTCCTGGGGTCAACCAGGGTCAAGTCCACACACAGGAGATTTGGCCAAAAGGCAGAAATGTCTACAAACAAGAGTAGTCTGCCAGAGGCATGCTGGTTCATTCCTATAATCTCAGCGTTTGGGTGGCAGAGGCAGGAGGATTGCTTTGAGTTTCAATCTAGCCTGGGGTGGAGAGTTCCAGGCCACTCTAAGCTACAGAGTGTGGTGGTTTTTTTAAAAATTTTTTTAAAAGGTTTATTTATTATCTATACAGTGTTCTTCCTGCATGTATGCCTGCAGGCCAGAAGAGGGCACCAGATCTTATTACAGGTGGTTGTGAGCCACCATGTGGTTGCTGTAAATTGAACTCAGGACCTTTGGAAGAGCAGCTAGTGCTTGTAACCGCTGAGCCATCTCTCCAGCCCTGCAGAGTGAGTTTTGCTTGCTTAGTTGTTTGTTTGTTTTTGAGACAGGAGAACTCACTTTTTAGAAAAGGCTGGCCCTGAACTCACAGAGGTCGCCTGCCTTTGCCTCCGGAGTGCTGAGTAAAAGTGCTGCTACCACACCTCGTTTACAGAGTGAGATTTTTGTCTCAAAGTAACAAGCGTGCTATTGAAGTGTACAAAGCTAGTGTGGTCTTTGTCCATGTTACTAGAGATAGAATCATCTAGAATGTTGATGTTGAGTTGACTACTTTTCACTGAAGTTTGGGATACAAAAGGGACCCCACATTGGCATCTTTGAAGTACAAAAGATGAGAGGGAGGCTTGGGACTAAGATCCACAAGAAGGGTGTGCAAATGCGGGCGTGTGGTGTTCAGTCCAGGATCTCCCAAGGCCAGCTTTAAGTGTGACCCCAAGCATAGAGACAAGAACAGTGGGATGAGAATTTGGGGATCACCAGGTGGGGGCTCTTAGTGGCTGTTCCTGGAGGCAGGGACCCCTGTAGGTGTGTGAGAAGGGCTTAAGAATTTGATGATCTTTGGAACTTCACCCAACAGCTGGAGCACGGGGGAGGGGGGTGTCAGAACCTTAGAGCCTTTTAAGCTCAATCAGTCACCCCCAGAAGGGTGCAGGGGAACGCACCCAACTGGAGAAACCCCATATGGTTATTCTCCCAGCCTCATTGCTGCTGTGGGCTGAGGGATACATGAACCCCAGGGTGCTTGGGGAAACCTCCCTTGACTTCCAGCTCAGCCTGGGAGCAGACTGGATGCTCCCATCCTCCAGGATGCCCCATCCCTGGACCATCATTCTGGGCAGTGTTATTTAAGAATACAACCAAAGAGAGAACGAGGCAGATGTGGTGGCATACGCCTTTGATCTCAGCACTTAGGAGGCAGAGGCAGGAGACTCTCTGTGAATTCCCTGCCAGCCGAGGCTACACAGTGTGACTTGGTCTCAAAAGAGTGGAATGGGGAAGAGCTAAGGTTGGGCATGGCTACCTCTTTTTCCATCACCAGGACTCTGAGGAGTAGCTTCTAGAAGGGGTCAGTGTCCAGGACTGGCCTCAACCTTTCTTGCCTAGGGCAGGTAAGAAGTAGAGAGCGAGCCAGCCAGGTTGGGGAAGTGACTCGGTTGGAAGTGTGCCTGTCTCACATGCCTGAAGGTTCTGGGTTCCATCCCCAGCACCGAACAAACTAGGTATGGGTAGTGCATGTCTGTGATCCCAGTATTTGGCAGGAGGGTCAGAAATTCAAGGTCATCCATGGCTACAAAGGAAGTTTAAAACCAGCCTGAGCTAATCAAAACTCCACCTCAAAATTTAAAACAAAACAAAAAGTTCTAGTCAAGAGAGGGTATAGGGACAGATAAATGTTACTATGGGAACCGGATGGGTCCTTCAGGTGACCTCCCAGTGAGGTGAGGTGTGGTGACCCACACCTCTAATCCCAGTACTTGGGAGGCAGAGATAGAAATATCTCTATGAGTTCAAGGCCAACCTAGTCTACATAGTGAGTTCCAGGCCTGACAGGACAACATACTGAGACTGTCTAAAAACTAAGACTCATAGGTCCCTGACTAGCAGATGCATGTATGTTCTGAAGATTTCAGTCATTTTTACTTTGAATATTCTGCCTCTGGGTTCTAGGGATGAACATACCCGGGAATGACCCTGGGATGACCCTTTTTGTGAGAGAGGAAAAACTAGAGTAGGCAGTGAAAGGCCTAGAAGGAAAGTCTTTCCTGGGGGCTGTAGGTGTGCCTCAACAGTAGAGCCACTGATTGCCTAGCAAGTGTGATTCCTGGGGTTAGCCCTGCTTCTACCTATTACAGACCCCTAGAATCTGCAGTTAGCACCACAACACACAGCCATAACCCCAGGAACGCCTGTTTTGCTATCTGAAGAACTGGAAAATATTTTTTAAGTCACATTTATTTATTTAATTTGTAGGGGAGGCCACATGTCATGAGATGCATTTTGAAGCCAGAGAACAACTTAGGGGAGTTGGTCCTCTACTTCCAACATATGGGTCTCAGGGATCAAACTCAAGGTGTCAATCAAGTTGGCACCAAGTGCTTTATCTACTGAACCATCTTGAAAACCCTTACTGGGGGGCTGTAGAGATGTCTTAGAGGTTAAGCACATTGGCTGCCCTTCTAGAGGTCCTGAGTTCAATTCCTAGTAACCACATGGTGGCTCACTACCATCTATAATGAAATCTGGTGCCCTCTTCTGGCCTACAGGCATATATACAGGCAGAACACTGTATACATAATAAATAAACAAACTTAAAAAACCCTTATTGGGGACTTTTTTCTTTTTACAGGAACAGAGCATTGGGTTTGTAAACACAGTGTTTTATTTTGTTGTATTTTCAAGACTGGGTTTCTCTGTGTAGCCTTGGCTGTCCTGGAACTTGCCCTGTTGATCAGGCTGACCTTGAATTTAAGAGATCCACCTACCTCTGCTTCCCAAGTGCTGGGATTTTAAAGGAGTATGCCACCATCACTGTCTGGGATTGGTTTTTTATTTTTGTTTTTGATTTTTGGGGGGGTTCGAGACAGGGTTTCTCTGTGTAACAGCCTAACCATCCTGGAACTCACTCTGTAGATCAGGCTGACCTCGAACTCAGAGATCTGCCTGCCTCTGCCTCCTGAGTGCTCAGATTAAAGGTGTGCACCATTATACTCTGCTAAGTGAACTCTGTGCTAACCAAGGTTCACCAAGCCAAGCAGTTGCCAATCAGCCTATGATCTCTGCAAAGGTCTGGCTAAAAGCTTGCCCCTAATCACCCAGGGAGAAAAAAATAGGTGGTTTCCAGTATCTGGGCTAGCTGTGGGTTTATTCCACTTTATACACCAGTTTTACCCTCAGGATTGAGGGGAGAAGTTGGTATGACTGTACCAAGAACTTCTGCATTTGGCTAAGTCCTTGCCGTTGTTAGGGATCGTTAAAGATCCTTAGTGTACCTGTAAAGAATACAGACAACTCGGGGACTGGAGAGATGGCTCAGAGGTTAAGAGCACTGACTGTTCTTCCGGAGGTCCTGAGTTCAATTCTCAGCAACCACATGGTGACTCACAACCACCTGTAATGAGATCTGGTGCCCTCTTCTGGCCTGCAAGTGTGGAGGCTGAATACTGTGTACATAATAAATAAATAAATAAATCTTGAGGGGAAAAAAAAAAGAATACAGACAACTCAAGGCCAGCCTTGGCTACATAGAAATACACTGTCCTCTACCGATGGTAATAAACCAACCATGACTCCTAACTCCAGTGACATACACACAAGAGCTGAGACTCTATGTAACTCCAAAGTAGCTGGAGACATTGTCCTGAATTTCATAGTGAGGGGCTGGGGTGTGACTCAGTGGTAGAGCACCTTCCTAGAATCCCCCAGTGAGGGGCTGGGGTGTGACTCAGTGGTAGAGCACCTTCCTAGAATCCCCCAGTGAGGTCTGGGGTGTGGCTCAGAGGTAGAGTACCTGCCTAGAATCCCCAGTGAGGGGCTAGAGATATGGTTGAGTGGTAGAGTACTTGCCTAGCATGTGCAAGTTCTGGATTCGATCCCAGCATTGAAAAAAAAATGAAGAGTTATACTTACCTTTCTGTATAAACAAAGGTTATTTAAAAACATGTATTTATTTGTGTGTGTGTGTGTGTGTGTGCGTGTGTGTGTGTGTATGCATATAAGTGGCGGTCAGAGGACACCTTCTGGGAGTTGGTTCTTTTTACTGTAGATCCTGGGGTTCAGGAGCGATTCATGTTGTTGGGCTTGGTGGTGAGCACCTTCAGCTGGTGAGCCACCTCATGGACCCAGGTATGGGTTATTATATCAAACCCAAATTCCTGCAGGGGGCAGCAAGGTGATGAGGCAAAACAGTCTTTTTCTATAAGAAATGCTCCCACTCTCTCTTTCATTTAGCTTCTCTTTTTAATGAGGTTGCTTTGAGACACTGTCTCTCATGGGTAGCCCAAGCTGGCCTCAAACTCGTCCTTCTTCTTTTCTTTTTTGAGACAGGGTTTCTCTGTCTAATAGTCCTGACTGTCCTGGACTAGTCTGGCCTCAGACTCACAGAGATCCACCTGCCTCTGCCTCCTGAGTGCTGGATTTAGAGGTGTGCGCCGCCACCACTTGGCCATCCTTTTAGAGATTTATTTTATATAATTTCTTTTAAAGACAAGCCCCAGCAGGCTGTGGGAATCTACCCAGTCTTTGCCTCTTTCCCTCTGTTTTATTATTGTGATTTTTTTTTTAGTGTTTGCCTCCATGAGGGTGTTGGATCCCCTGAAATTCAGTTGTGAGCAGCCATGTATGTGCTGGGAATTGAACCCAGGTCCTTTGGAAGAGCAGACAGTGCTCTTAACCACTGAACCATCTCTTCAGTCCCAGAACAAGAGTTTGTTTTTCTCAAGACAGGAATTTTCTGTGTATCCCTGGCTGTCCTCAAACTTCCAGAGATGTGCCTGCTGGGATTAAAGAGTGTGCCACCTCCACCCAGATATTTAATAGTTTTTTTGTATGTGTGTCTGTGTCTATGTGTGAATGCAGTACCCACAGAAACCAGGAGAGGATGTTGGATCCCTTGCAGCTATAGGTGAGCCATCCAATACTGGATCTGGGAATGGAATTTGGTCCTCTACAAGAGCAGTGCATGCTCTTAACTACAGACTCATACCTCCAAGCACTACACTCTATCCTGTCTTTATGTTTTGCTGTTATGGTTTGAGACAGGGTCTGATTATGTAGCTCTGGCTGACCTCAGATTCAGAGATGGGCCTGCTCCTGCCTCCTGAATGCTGGCTTAAAGGTTTATTCTACTGCATCTGGAGAAGACCTTGAACTTCTGATCCTTATTCCTCCACTTCTTGTGTACTAGACACACACCACCATTTCCATGGATACCATGTTAGGAGTGGAACCTAGGGTTTCCAGTGTGCTCCATGCCCGGTGCTCTCTGTGGTTTTAACACAGAGAGGGGCACTACTCACCTGGAGGCTCTGCAGCACCCTACCTACGTTGCAAGTTGAATCTAAGAGCTAACCTACCTGGGGGTTAGCACCCAGTGGGGGACATACTCCTTATGATGTCATCTACAGGCAGCTCACCACAGGGAAGCTGAACAGAAAGCAAAGTCTGAGATTAAGTAAATATCCTTTATTTATTTTGAGACAGGGCTTATGAAGCCTAGGCTAGCCTTAAATTCTGTGTCTTAGGATGACACTGAACTTCGGATCCTCTTGCCTTCGCCGAGTGCTGATTACAGGTGCCACCACCATGCTCGTGCCAGTCGTGCTGCAGGCAGAAGTCAGGGCATACACTGCCAGCTGAGCCATAGTCCCACTTTTCTCCATCTTCACCCACAGACAACGGCCCAGAGAGCCCTGTGACTTGTCAGCTCCCTTCATGGCATCTGGTGACCTCCCAGGAAGCACACAGGTTCAAGATACAGGACCCTGTTTCACAAAACGAGTGTTGGTGACCATTCCCCTGGTGCTGCGGGAAGCTCCGGAGTCAGTCATGACTGAGAACAACTCCCTGGTCCAAACCTGCACATCTCTTATAATAACATGTATTTATTCAGTCTGTGTGAGGTATGTAGGTACACATGCACATGCCACTGCACTTATGTGGAAGTTAGAAGTTCTGGTGTCCCTTCTCTCCTTCTAACATGCAGGTCTCAGGACAGAACAAGACAAACTCCTTAACCTACTGGGCCATTCATGGGTCTACCCCGACTCCCTTTCCTCTTTTTGAAACAGGGCCTCACTGTGTAGCCCTAGCTAGCCTGAAACTCACTATGTCAGCACAGCTGGTCCACAAACTCGTGGGTCATCCTCCTGCTTGTCCAGTGCTGGGAATACATGTGTCTACCACCACATCCTGCTTCTACCCTTTTTTGAGACAAGGTCTCACTATATAGCCTAGGCTGGCCTTAAACTGAGACCTGTCTCCCTTCAGCCTACCACATGCTGGGATATATACATGTATCACATCCTATCTTAATACTGGAGCCAAGATGGAGGCCAAAGATGCACCATGTGAATGACTGCCAGAATCTGGGAAGGAGTTCAGAAGGAAGGAATCCGGTTGTGCAAACACTGTGGTCACTAAGAGGGCATTTGGCTCAGTTTGCCCATTTTAGCCATCTGTCTAAAAGACAATCACCAGATGCACAATCTTTGTTTTCTATCTTCTTGACTAGGCTCACGCGCTTCAGTCCCATGCCTGCTGTGTATTCAGCCTTGCTCTGTGCTTGCCCCCTTCAACCACGCCCTTCATTGCCAGACTGGGGAAGAGCCACGGAGGCAGGGATAATGTCCACTGCCAAGTTTATCTTCTTGCTAGGGCATACGGGAAGTAGGGAAAGGGAAAACTCACTACAATCCTGGGAGGAGGGAACCACTGTGTGGTAGTCCTCCAGAAAGCCTTCTATATCCATGTGGGTGTGTGGCCCATGCCAGAAATCCTAACACTCAGGAGACTGAGGCAGAGGATGGAAAGTTCTAGTCCTGTCTGTGATTCAAAAAAATGCTGAGATTACAGCAACATCCAGCCTGGTTTATAGGGTACTGGGGGAGGAGCCAGGGTTCTGTGCATCAACTGAGCCACATCCTGAGCTCTGCTGTGGATCTCTACTTTCTTGGCTTTACACACGGCCCCAGAGTGCTCCTGAATTCAGGATGTCCTAGCCTACACCCAGTGTGGGTCAGAAGTAAGGGGACCACAGGACTACTGTAGCTCTGACCACAAGTTACTATTAACTGCTTGGTATAAGAAAACCCAAAACCGGGCTGGAGGTTAAGGACACTGGCTGTTCTTCCAGAGGTCCTGAGTTCAATTCCCAGCAACCACATGATGGCTCACAACCATCTGTAATGAGGTCTGGTGCCCTCTTCTGGCATAGATGTAAATGCAGGAGGAACATTGTATACATAATAAATAAATCTTTAAAAGAAAGAAAGGAAGAAAGGAAGGAAGGAAAACCCGAAACCTAGAAAACTAACGGAGTCATGGTGGTACACACCTGTGTACTTCTGTACTTCTGAGTGTACCAGCACTCAGAAGGTGGAGGCACAAAGTTGGGTGTGGTGGCGCACACCTTTAATCCCAGCACTCAGGGAGGCAGAAGCAGGCAGCTGTCTCTGAGTTCGAGGCCAGCCTGATCCACAGAGCAGAGGACAGCTAGGGTTACACAGGAAAACCCTGTATCAAAAACAAAACAAAAACAACAACAAAGGGTCAAGAGATCATGATCAGGCACAAAGAGAGTTCATGATCAGCCTGGGTTACTAGAGACTACCTCAAAAAACAAAACAAAACAAAAATTTCCCCAAATCTAAATGACAAGTCTCCCCCAAAAAAACTCATTACAAGCTGGGCGGTGGTGGCGCACGCCTTTAATCCCAGCACTTGGGAGGCAGAGGCAGGCGGATCTCCGTGAGTTCGAGGCCAGCCTGGTCTACAAGAACTAGTTCCAGGACAGGCACCAAAAACTACAGAGAAACCCTGTCTCAAAAATCAAAAAAAAAAAAAACAACAAAACAAACAAAAAAACAAAACACAAAAAAACAACTCACTACAATCCTTGGTCAGCAGCATATAAGGAACCTATTTTTCAACTTTTTTTTTTTTTGAGACAGGGTCTTATGCTGTGGGATAATGCTCTTGTACACTGTAAAGATTTGTCACTTGTATTAGTTTAATAAAACACTTATTGGTCAGTAGTTAGGCAGGAAATATAGGTGAGGTGACCAGACTAGAATTCTGGGAATAGGAAAGGCAGAGAGTCAGTCACCAGCCAGATGCAGAGGAAGCAAGATGAGAATGCCTTACTGAGAAAAGGGACCAAGCCACGTGGCTAAACACAGATAAGAATTATTATGGGTTAATTTCAATCGTAAAAGCCAGTTAGTAATAAGCCTGAGCAATAGGCCAAACAGTTTATAATTAATATAACTGTGTGTTTCTTTGGGACTAAACAACTGCAGGAACAGGTGGGACAGAAATTTATGTCTATAAATGGCACTCAATGTGGGGCTCAAGCACACAACCCTGAGATTAAGAGTCTCAGTCTCACTATGTAGCTCCAATTAAAGATGTGAGTCACCATGCCTGTCTTATCCTTTTAAAGACAAGCCTTGCTATGTAACTGATCACAATCCTCCAGTCTCAGTCTCCTCTGTGGATTACAGGCCCATACTACAATCTGGACTTCATCTCCATCCTAATTAGTGAGCTTCCTGCTGCTTCTACTCCAGGGCCCAAAATTACTCACACAATCCATGAGCCTGATTAGAAAGATTTGACTTGTGGCACCTCTGATCATGCCATGTGGCAGATGCATGGGCCACACTCAGGAACTCAAGCTCTAAGTCTTGTTACAGTTAGCAGACTGCACAGTTAGCAATGCAAGTGGCTAGGAAAAGGCAGACCAAGGACAGGAACACTGTCCCAAAAACTTGGTCTAAGTAGTATCACCCTACATCACCACCGTGAGTAGAATATGAGTAATAGTGATAGACCTCAGGAGAGCAAATTATTTACTCTTCTGCCACCACACCCACAGGGCACCTTCCCCAAGGTCACACCCTAGATAAGTGTGAACACAGGAACACATTCCTCTAACTCAAGGGCTTTGCTTTCTTGTTGCCAGACGACAGAGGCGGTGTGGAACAGACCTAAGAAAATGGCAATCTTTCACTAACTTTTTTCTTGGAGGCAAAAGGGGACACAGGACAACAGCAATGCTGGGGACCAAACCCAGTGCCTGCTGCATGCTAGCATTCTCTCACTGAGCTAGCTACAGCCACAGCGGGATCGTTGATCAAGTCTCACCTGTGGCTTGGGATAACACAGAAAGACAAGTTTCAGGCAAGCCCCAAGAATTAATCTTTTTGGCAGAGGACAAAAAGATTGGCACGGTTCAAGGGTTACAGAGGAAGTGCTGCCCCATGGTATAAACATGAGGTAGGGGACCAGAAAAAGCTTGCTGGGGTTTCTGGTAAAACCAGAGCACTTGTTCTGGGAGTTGACATCTGGAAGGCAACTTCTAGAAACAAGCAGGCACCCAGTGGGGGGGCTCTGGAAAGCACGTACATTTCTGGTTTTCTGTTATCTTTCTCCTGGGGCCTCTTTCTTGCCACGGAAGAGCTTTTTTTTTTTTTTCCTGGACCATAGGAGAAGGCTGTGTTGATCACCAGCCAGATAGGAGAGTTAAGGGAACGCCACAAGAGGTAGTCAATTCATTCCAAGACCAATAGTTCAAAGGTCAAGAAAGGCAAGTCCTTGGGCTGATTCCCCTTCCCTCCGTTTCTCCGATTAAATACGAAAGCCGATGAAGACGAAGATGAGGAAAAGGAGGATAAAGAAAGTGGCATCTCGGGTATCATCCCAGCGTAGCTCCTTGTTGGCCCGGTCCTCCTGCTTTTTGCGAAGGGCCTCCCTCCGGGCGCGCAGACGCCGCTCTCTTTCTAGCTGTTCTCCATAGTGCGCCTGGTAGAAGGCGTCAAAGTCGAACATAGTGCGACGGTCGCCAGGAAAGGCCCGAGAGCCATAGTGAGCCCGAGGGGTAGGGGGAGGAGGGCGGGGAGGAGGAGGGGGATCGTCCGGGGGTGTCCTAGAGGGCCTGACACCGGGTCCGCGCAGGTCCTGGTCGCTGAGCAGACCTCGATCATACTTGCGACGGAGGATGGTGCTGCCCAGGACCCGATAAGCTTCGGAGATGCGCGTGAAGCGTTCGGCGGCCTCGGGGCTCCCGGAATTGCGATCAGGATGGTAGAGGAAGCTCTGCCGGTAGTACGCCGCTTTGATCTGTGCTTGCGTGGCCGTGGAGGGGACACCCAGCATCTCGTAGAGGGCAGTGCGGGAGTAAGGCCTCCCTCGCGAGAACCAGCCCGCGGCCGAATGTTGTGGCAACCCCCGAGCCTGCCACAGCCTCCATAGCGGTGACAGCGGCCAGCCCAGGCAGCGCGCGGCCGCCATGTTGTGGCGGGGACTGGGCGGTGCCCAGCCGGCCAATGGGAACCACGAATCGTGAGCGGCGCCTCCGGCTTGTAGCCAATCAAATAAAAAGATGGGCGGGGACCGTTTAGAGCGTGAGCTCTACGTTGGGGGGGTAATCGCAGGGTTGATGACGTCAAAACATCGCGCCGAGGCTTGCCGGCACCAGCGTGCCGCGGTACCCTAGAGATGGCGTCTCGTAGCCGGAGACCGGAGCACAGCGGACCGCCTGAGCTGGTGAGAACCTTGTCAGGTCTTGGTCTTCTTCTAGCATGCCTGTTTTTGGATTCTTCCCCTCATATCCCATGTATCTTTCTCTTCCCAACAGTTTTATGACCAAAATGAAGCCCGGAAATACGTTCGCAAGTGAGGAGGGCATGGCTGTGGAATGGCATCGGGGGTCGGGATCGGCGAGTCGCCCGGATTATGGGCGTCGCTTGGATTTTAAGCCGTCGAACTCTTGGAGGGATCTTGATACCTTGGTTTCAGTGTGGATGTTTTCGTCTCTAGTTTACACTAGGTCGTTTGACAATGTGTGGTTATTTATTTGTTTGTTTGTTTGTTTTTGGATTTTCCGAGACAGGGTTTCTCTAGCTTTGGAGCCTGTCCTGGAGCCTGTCTTGTAGGTCTTGTAGACCATGCTGGCCTTGAACTCACAGAGTTTCTCACGTCTCTGCCTCCCGAGTGCTGTGATTAAAGGCGTGCACCACTACCGCCCGGCAGACAATGTGTTTTAAACATGTGGTCAAGTAGGCATAGAGGATACCTGTAGGATACTGTCATATTGTGTATGTGCTCTGTCATTGAGCCACACCCCCAGCCCCTCACTTGGGGATTCTAGGCAGAAGTTTTACCATTGAGCCACACCCCCAGAAAGGAATGAATACTATTAGGAGGGAGGACATATTCATTATGGGTTTCTTGTGATTCTTATTTAAATGCGTGATTGCACTAAATTGTTATGGAAACCGTTGAGAGAAACGTCTGAATCCTCTACACGATAGTTTATTTGGTTTTGTTTGTTTGAAACATGGTCTCTCATAGCCCAGGGTATTCTTGAACTTTCTGTGTATCGGAGGTGACTGAATTCCTGAACCTACTGTCTCCACCTTCCAAGTGCTGAAATTGCAGACATAGTCCAGCATGTCTGGCTCTATGGAAACTGTTGTGTGTGATTATTTACCTTGATTTTGGACAGACCAGGTGTAGAACTATTCTGTTTAATATGGCCCCCAATAGCTATCTAGTAAAATTCTTTAAGTCTGAATGACAATGTAGAGAGTGAAAAAAAGACACAGCTCACAATTTTTTTGCTGATTCCATATTGAAATAACTCTTTGATTATATAAAACATATAGTATAATTATAATAGGTTATTTGTTCTAGTTTTGTTAGTTTTTTTTTTAAGATACGTTCACATTATGTGACCCAGATTGGCCTCACTTGAAGTGACCCTCCTGCTTCAGCCTTCTGCATGCTGAGATTATAGGCATGTACAATCATGTCCTGTTCTTCTGTTTACTGTTTCTCTCCCTCCTTCCTTTTGAGACAGATCCTCACTACATAGCCCTGGCTGCCCTTGAACTCACAGAGGTGTGCTTGCTCAGGTTCTGGTTCAGTGGAGGTGTGCATTGCCACACCTGGTTTTTGTTTTCGGATACTGGGGGTAGGATGTGTGGTCAGGCACACACTTTTTACTACTGAGGCGAATCGTTTTTTGGAGGTACAGGGCTTTGAATTTAGGGCCTCTTGTGAGTTGACAAGTGCTCCACTCCCGAGACAAATGCCACTTGTGCATTGTTGATCCGTGTAGACGGGAGTAGATATGGCAGATGACTCTCGGAGAGAACGTATCCCTAAGGAATGAGCATCCAAACCAGCATAGATATAGAGTCATTGACTGCTCTTCTGCTGAGTGACTTGCTCTACTTCTGTCAGCCTTGCAGCTGGTGCACTTAACAATCTGTACATGATAAAATGACATGCTACTGTATCAGATGGACTTTTGGGCTTACTATTTATTATGTATACAATATTCTGTCTGCGTGTGTGCCTGCAGGCCAGAAGAGGGCACCAGACCTCATTACAGATAGTTGTGAGCCACCATGTGGTTGCTGGGAATTGAACTCAGGACCTTTGGAAGAACAGGTTATGCTCCTAACCGCTGAGCCATCTCTCCAGCCCCGGGCTTACTTTGTTGATGTTGTTTTGAGGCAGGGTCTTGCCCAAATTGGCCTTAAACTCTTAGTCTCATACCGGCCTTTTGAGTGGTGGGATTTTGTGGGAACTTTCATGCCCATCATGGGACTAAGTTCAATAACTGCATTTGAGTTGTTGGTTTCAGGTTAGAATTGTAGGTTTAAAATGTTGGGCAAGGACTGATGAGATAGCTCAGGGGTTAATAACCAAGCTTCATGACTCGGTTTGATCCCTAGAATCTCCATGTTGGAAGAAGAGAACCAAATTGAGCAAGTTGGCTTCTGACTTCCACATGCTTGCAGACACATACACACTAAATGAAATAAATAAATTTTTTTTTTTTGTTTTGTTATTTGAGATAGGGTTTCTCTATGTAACCCTGACTGTCCTGGAACTAGCTCTTGTAGAACAGGCTGGCCTTGAACTCAGAGATCTGCTTGCCTCTGCCTCCCGAGTCCTGGTATTAAAGGTGTGCGCCACCACTGCCAGGCAAAATAAAAAAAATTTAAAGTTAGGAGAAAGTACCTCTAGTTGCTAACTCTTTTGATCTAAGAGAAACTCTAACTACTCCTATGTTTTTCTGCTTCCCAGCTCACGGATGATTGACATCCAGACCAAGATGACTGAGAGAGCATTGGAGCTCCTCTGTCTGCCAGAGGGTCAGCCCTCTTATCTGTTGGACATTGGGTGAGGTCCTGGGGCCCCAGGTCTCATTGCCTTGGTGGGGTGGAGGGTCTTTACTATTCAGCTCTGTGACCCCTGTGGGTTGTTTCCTACAGCTGCGGTACTGGACTGAGTGGAGACTATATCTCAGAGGAAGGGCACTATTGGGTGGGCATTGACATCAGCTCTGCCATGTTGGGTAAGTTTGCCCTGTCTGTACCAACGTGGCTATCCTCTTGAGTATGGAGCAGCTAAATTGGATTTCTGGTTGAGATCAGGTCTTGCCGTGTAGCCCAGACCAGTCCCCAATGTGAGATGCTCCTGCCTCAGCCTTTCTGTTGCTGAGATCACAGGCCTGCCCACCACACCTGTCTGCAGCAGCAGTACCCATATTTCCTTTCCTCCCATGTAGATGCTGCCTTGGACCGAGACACAGAGGGAGACCTGCTGCTAGGGGACATGGGCCAGGGAATCCCTTTCCGACCAGGTTCTTTTGATGGCTGCATTAGGTGAGGGTCTTCACTTCCTACTTGTAATTTCATACACCAGTGTTTCCTAAACCCAGCTGCATAATAGGCATACGTGATATTTAAAAATTTACATGTTCTGGACCTGTGAGCTGGCTCTGATTACAGGTGCTTGTTACCAGGCCTGACAAACCTGTTTGGTACAGAACACACATGGTGGAGTAAATAAATGTAATTAAACAAACATACATCTTCTAAGATTTTGTGATTTAAAAAGAGAAAGGCTGCTAAAATATAGTTGTGTGTGCGTGCATTCTTGTATGTGGGTACAGCAGGTGGAGGCAAGGAAGCATCCTTAGGTATCGGTCCTCAGACTCTCTGCCTTTTGTTTCAGACAAGCTCTCATTGGCTTGGACCACTGTCACACAGACCAGATTAGCTGACCAGTGAGCTTCCAGGCATCTGCCTGGCTCTGCTTCCGATTCCCCCATTGCTGGGATTATAGACACAGTGACCTATAATTAATTATTTTCCCAGGCAGTGGTGGTGCACCCCTTTAATCCCAACACTTTGGAAGCAGAGGCAGGTGGGTCTTTGAGTTCAAGGCCAGCCTAGTCTACACAGCGAGTTCCGGGGTGTCCAGGACTACATACACAGAAAAACCCTGTCTTGAAAAACTAAATAAAAAAAGATGTTTATTTTATGAGCATGTTGGCCTGTGTGTGTGTGTGTGTGTGTGTGTGTGTGTGTGTGTGTGTTTCACATGCATGCCTGGTCCCTGTGGGGGCTAGAAGACAGTGTTCAGTTCTCTGGAACTAGAGATGTCTGTGAGCTGCTGTGCGCGTGCTGGGAACTGAACCTGTGTCTTCTACAAGAGCATCAAGTACTTTTAAACCACGGATCCATCTCTCCAGCCCCTGGACTTCAATAACCAGCTTTGGAGCATTAAAATTGCTTTTAGAAATATGAACTGTCGCTGCCCATGGTTGTCACCTCAGCAGTGAGGAGGTGTGGGATGGGGTGGGGGAGGGTACAAGCCTTGATAGCTGCAGCAGAAGCACGGAAAAGGTGGATGAATGGCTGGGTGTACGTGCTTGCTGTCCAGTGGGTTTCCCTGACGGTCCGCAGAGAGTGAAGGGGTAGGTGGGCAGTAACGGCCTGGGCTCCTGGACGTACACATAGATGTTGGTTGAGAGAGCATTTTCCTGGAATAACTGAAGGAAGGGAGTGCTGCCCCAATTGGTTCTGTGTTGAAAGGAAGTGATCAAGAGTGGACTGACCTGCAGGACAGGAGCTGTATGCAGCATTGTATTATCATGGTGGATAATGGCAGATTCCTCAGGAGTCACTGGCGAGGTGTCGGCCCTCTTGACTGGGTCCCTTCCTTTCCAGCATCTCAGCTGTTCAGTGGCTCTGCAATGCAAACAAGAAGTCAGACGTCCCCGCCAGGCGACTCTACTGCTTCTTTTCTTCTCTGTACTCTGCCCTTGTGAGTATAGCTCCCCTCCTCTTGGTTCTGTCTGCCTGTCATTCTCCTGCCTCAGAAGTTCAAGGATGACATTGAGGTCATGATGGGAAAACTGTTTAGAAAGGACATGTAGCCTCTCAAGACTCAGTTGGGCACAGTGGTATAGACCTGGAATCCTAACACTTGGAGGCAGAGACTGGAGAGTTGGGAGTTCAAGACCAACCGTGGCTACCTAGGAAATTCAAAGTCAACCAGCGATGTCTCAAAAATGCAAAAGGAAAAAAAGGGTCCAGGTGCAAAGGGCAGACATCTGACTAAGCCCAGGAGCATCGATCGCAGTCAGCATCTGAGGCAGTTGAGGGCGGGGAGTGACGTCATGTTCAGCACACAGAGTGCCCGTGTCCTCTGCACTTCCCTGCACTGTCTCCTTCTTTTTTAATTAAAAAAAATTCCTGGCAGGTGTTGTGGTGCCGCCTTCAATCCCAACACTTACTGCGTAATTCTTGCTTCTTGTCTTTTTTCTTTTGAGACAGGGACTTACTGTGTAAACTATGCTGGGCGTGAGCATGTAGTGATCCTCCTGCCTCTGCCTCCCAAAGGCTTAGGTTTCAGGCAGGCCCCATGTTTTCCTTTGTCACTCGCCACAGCTGTAAGGTAAATGCCTGCCTGACCAGCGAGTGCCCCCGTTCAGGAGTTTTGTTCATGATGGCGCTCTGAGCCTTGCCTGTGACGGGAGCTCTGTAATGTTTAGTAAGTGAAGTGCGCTGTGGCCATCAGCTTACATGGTCATGACATTTCTGCTGCTCACAGGTCCGTGGGGCCCGAGCTGTCCTGCAGCTGTACCCTGAGAACTCGGAGCAGGTGAGCAGCTATCTAGATCTGCCGGGGGCGGGGTGTGGACCAGCCTTCTCCATTTAGCTGCCTCTTGCCATGGTAGAACAAGGAACTCTTGCAGACCGGTGGAAAAGAGGGAAGGAGCACCCTAGTGATGGCACAGTGACCCCAGATGGCTCCCTGAGAGGGGGTGTGCAGTTTTCTGTTGGCAGATGAGATGGCGGGCGGCTGGGGATGTGGCTTAGTAGTCGAGTGCTCATCTAGATCCATGAGGACCTGGCCTCCATCCCCAGCACAGAGAGAGAAAAATGGAAACAGATAAGGCCGCGTCCTGGAATGTGCCATGATGTGACGCATCTCCATAACCCTACGGCTAGAGGACCTCAGCAGTTCTGCCTTCTGTGGCAGGACTTAGGGCTTAGAATGGAATCTGGTTTTCTGAGGGTAGGGAGATGGGTCCCTGGACCAGAACATGGGAACGAGCAGAACCGCTTTGTGCTGACACTCTCCTCAGGGTGGGGCTCCAGAGACTGCCCACTTTGTGCCTTGGTGGCTTTTGAGGCCTCTGAGTCAGAAAGGTCTAGCTAGACTGTGCTTTAGATTCTGACCAATGAGGGCTGAGGATCTCTAGCGCGGCTGTCCCTCCCACGCCTCCATTTGCTCTCTGGCCCCTCTCTCCTCAGCTGGAGCTGATCACAACCCAGGCCACGAGGGCAGGCTTCACCGGCGGCGTGGTGGTGGACTTCCCCAACAGTGCCAAAGCAAAGAAGTAAGTGGCGGGTCGACAGCTCAGCGGGTGAAGTGCTTGCTGCACAAGCGTGAGGGCCTGAGCTCCCATTTCCAGCATCCGTGTAAAAGGCTAGGCGTGGTGTGCTTGCTCGTAACTCCAACGAGGCGCTGGGGAGACGGAGACAGGCAGATTCCTGGATGGGGAGCTTTAGTACAGTGAGACGCTGTCAAACATGAGGTGGAGAGTGTCTTGGGGAGTGATGACTGAGCTTGACTTCGACTTCATGCTATACACATACACAGTGAGTGCTGGGCCAAGCGCTGTCTACACAGCTGGGGCCCTTGCAGGCTACTGAGTAAACAAAGGGATGCCGGGTAGATGGACAGGGCCACAAAAGATGCAGGGCTTGTCTCTTCCTGCCAGGCCTTGTGAGCCAGGCTTCACGTTGCTCTGCCTTGTTTCAGGTTCTACCTCTGTCTGTTTTCTGGGCCTTCCACCTCCCTGCCAAAGGTAAGGGTCTTGGGCTCCCAGGGTGCCTTATAACTCCCAGCATAAGAGCATGCTGGGAGGGCTTCATTGGTTAGGGTTCCCTAATCCCTTGCACAGAGCCCAACTGAGACCTCTGCAGGTCATGGGAAGGACCACCAACCCTTGTAGCCTGGCTTTTAGGCCTGCTGGGGTTACTAAGGCCTGAATGCACACATGTCTTATGTTGGGGCAGAGAGCGCCAGGGCGACTCAGAAGCTTTGTCTTCCACAGGGGCTGACTGAAAGTCAGGATGCAGACCAGGCCACCGAGTTCGCCTTCACCAGTGAAAGGTAAGGTGTGAGGGGCCTAGGTGCGGGACCCAGGCAAGGGCTCGGGCATTTTTCTCTACTCTCACCTTAGTCAGGTTAGAGCCAGCTGCAGTGCCAAAGTGATGTCACAACCAGATGTGCCTCCTCCTCAGGCTGAGTACCAGGACAGCCACAGTGCCTTAGCTTCCTGTGTGAGCCTGCACAGCCCCTTCACACATTTGGCAGGGTGTTCTTGTGACGTCCCCCCTTCTCGGCCTCCCCCAGCCCCTTTCAACTACAGCCTGGATCCCTGGCTCCTGCGTCCTCATCTCTACCCTCTAGAGTCTTCCTATCCACGCACATAGCTCACAGTTTGGGGACGGATGCCCAGACCGTTCAACACAGCTAACATAGAGCACATGTCACCAACCAACACTAGCGTGTTGACGAGGGACCCTAAGATGCATGGAGGGAGTTGGATGCCTGGTACTTCCTCAGCAAAGCCAAGTAGAAACATCTAGAAGTGTCTCAATGGGGAATGAGCAGGGGAGCTAAGAAAGGAGTGGTCAAGGGTCAGGGGCCAGGCTTACGCGCAAGTTCCTGTTCTCAGCCAGCTCACCTGCCGTTTGTTTCCGTTTCACTATGAGAAGAGGCAGGTTTCCACATGGCGTCACTTCCCTGCCCCATTACTCCTGACACCCGTGGTCACTTGCCCTTTCCTTTCCCCCACTTGGATGACTTTCTCTTGCCTTTCTTTAGTGGCTGGCCCCTTGTTCCTGTAGCAGGCTTTCTTAGACCAGGCCCTACATCATGACAAGGAGGCTTATTGGTTATGAGGCTTGTTTCTAGATAGCTTCTTTAACTTAACCTGCTTCTGCTGATCTGTGCGCTGCCCCGAAGCTTGTGTACCTTATCTACGCTCTGTCCATCCTGCTTCCTCTGTGGCTGGCTGGCTGACCCCTGGCTGACTGGGCCCCGTTTTCTCTCTGCTTGCCAGCCCTGTCTAGCCCTCCTCTGCCTAGCTATTCACTGGTCAGCTTTTATTAGACCAATCGGGTGTCTTAGGCAGGCAAGGTGAAACAGCAACACACCTTTACACATTAAACAAATGCAGCATGAACAAATGTAACACACCTTTACACAGTAAAACAGTCTGCAATACAAACATAACAAACAAATATAACACAACTTTACTTAAAACAATATCCTATTTCACAGCATGTTCCCGTTTACTGCACCCACAGTGTTCCGTGTGTTCCATATGACCTCTGGATCCCCTGCATTTACAGTAACCTCTGACTGCGCCTGTCCCCTGACTTCCAGGAGCAACATGGCCGCTCCTCCTCTCCTTCCGTGACTCCCTTTTGGCCTCATGTGGCCTGCCCCTCTTTCCTGGTGGCCTGGGTTGCTGCACGTAGCCCAGCCCCTGCTACAAATGCTGAGTAGCTCTTGGAGCCCTACTCTGCCTCTGCTAGGGGAAGGTTTGACAAGGCTGGGTCATGGCTCCTGTCTGCACCCAGGGGCCACAGTCCATACTGAAGCAGCCGGCAGCTCTCCCTCAAGCTAGGCTGGATCACTTCATCCCGGCAGCCAGTGGGATTGTGGCTGTGGGTGGGTGCGCAGACTCCCTTTCTTCCGTGGGCCTTTTGTCCATTGGGCTTTGGGGATCACATTCCTCCTCAGCCAGGGCTAGAGGCCAAGATGATCTGTGAGTGGCATTGTCGTCAGGGCTGCCATGAGCGGGCAGCCTTGTTTTCCAGCCTCAGACATTGACAGAAGCTGGAGTGGGGTGGGGGTGGGGGAATTGACACTGGCTTCTGCCAGGCATACTGAGCCCCAACCCAGACAGGGACCTTACGTGGCAGCATTGGACTGTGCAGGTTCCATGGCTTTCCTTGGACACAACCAGGTTACTTTCTTTTTTCTTTTCTTTTCTTTTTTTTTTTTGAGTTACTCCTTCCTGGAGTCACCGTATAGATAAGGTGTGTGCCAGACACAAGGCCATCTGCCTAGTGATACATTGTAGGGACAGGGACTTTGCCCCACAGCTCTGCTAAACCAGGGTTCTGGTCCTATTACAGAGGTGTCCAGAGTGGAGGTGATTGATGGGAAGAGGGTGCTTCAGAGCTAACACTCCCCCTCCCCGTGACAGCTTAGCCACCCTCTCCCTTCTGTCTCTGGCTAGGGCTCCACACAAGAAGGCACGGCGGGACCTGGTGAAGAAGAGCCGGGAGTGGGTCCTGGAGAAGAAGGAGAGGCGCAGGCGCCAGGGCAAGTGAGTATCGACTGGGGGTGGTGGGTGGCAGGGAGGGTGAGGCCGTGGCCACCAAGACGTAACCTGCTTTTATGGTCACAGAGCTCTTCCTTCTCCTGAGTCTGTTCTGTCTGTCTGCAGGGAGGTCAGACCTGACACCCAGTACACTGGCCGCAAGCGCAAGCCCCGCTTCTGAGGGCTCTGCATCTAATCAAGTGGAGAGTCTGGCTACCCACACCTGCATCCAGTCCTGCAGATGGCCCTGGCCGTCCACACCTGCATCCAGTCCTGCAGACGGCCCTGGCCACCCACACCTGCATCCAGTCCTGCAGACGGCCCTGGCCACCCACTCTGAACAGAGGTTGGGAGCTGTCCAACCCAGGACCTGCCTCTGAGGAATTTTCTAGATTGAACTGTTTACCTCAGCAGCTAGCAACATAGTATTTTAGAAAAGTTGCGAATTTCTCAAAATATTTTTTTCACTAAAAGTGTTCCAGGGATTTGGGTTTGGCAGCCCAGATCATGTAATCCCAACACCCTCCTTGGAGGCTGAGGCAGCAAGATGGAAAGTTCTAGGCTAGTCTGGACTACAGAGCAAAAACCTGTTCTAAAAACACAAAGTGAAAAAAATTTTCTAAGAATGTTTTATTTTGTCCTAAATACATTAACTTAGTTTCTAAGTAATTGGTGGCTCTATATTAACCCGTGTCTCCGGTTCCTTTGTTGGGGACCACTGCATGGCTCCTAGCCAGGAACTGGGTTTAAAGACCTGGAAGGAACAGAAGCTTTCTTCCATCTTGGGAGGGGCACAGATAGGTTCCTTGAATCTCAGGACTCATCTCTCATGTCATAATGCCATGCAAGGTTGGGAATGGGGTTCGGGTATTTGAGGTGTCCCTTGCCTCACGTGGGAGGTGTTAAATATCTTAGCACTTGGTGACCTCAGGCTGTTGGGACAATCGCAAGTGGTCAGAAGTGCAGGTCCTGCTCTAGGATGTGTGGTGTCCAGGCTAAGGACATTTGATACATATGTATCTCCCTAGGAAGGCATTGAACAGGGAAGGTGAGGGGTCTAAGGGCCTTAACCCTTAGAGTTGTATCTCCCAGGGATCAGATCCGGGACTTTGGCTCAGTGGGTACAGTTCTCGCCACGTGAATTAGGAGTTCAGATTCACGAACCCAGGTAAAGCGGATACAGTAATGCTGCTAGTTAGGCAGAAGTCCCTGACACTCATGGGCCAGCTGTACACAGTGAACAAAGATCCTGCCTTGCACAAGCAGAAAGTGAGAACCAAAGTTATCCTTTGATCTCCTCACACATGTACCTACACTCAGGCACATGTGTACTTTTTTTTTTTTTTTTTTTTTTAGGGGCTAGAGAGATGGCCCAGTGGTTAAGAGCATGCACATAACCAGCTATAATCCCAGCACCAGGGGATCCAATGCCCTCTTCTGGCTGCCACAGGTATCTGCACTCACATGACAGACACACACATAAACAGCCAGGCACGGTGGTGCTCCCTTTTAATCCCAGCACTCGGGAAGCCGACTTCTGACTTCTGAATTTGAAGTCAGCCTGATCTACCTAGTAAGTTCCAGAATAGTAAGGACTACCTAGTGAGACTTAAACAAAATTAAAATAAATAAATAAAAAAGATCTGGGAGTTGGAGAGATGGCTTGGTGGTTAAGAGCGTTGGTTGTTTGCGCAGAGGAACTGGAATTGGTTCTCAGCACCCATGTGGCAGCTAACAACCATCCGTAAGTCCAGCTGCAGGGGATCCAACCCACTCTTGTGACCTCTGCTGGCTCCAGGCACACATGCTAGCAAAACATTCATAACAGGTGAAAGATCTAAAGCCATACCTCTGATGGGTGAAGGTGGGTCTCCCCTAGGTAAGGGTGGGGTTCTGGGGTGGTCTCAGAAAAGCCCAGATGTTACCCACTGACCATCCAGAAGCAGCTGAAGGCCTGCATATTGCGGGAAAATTGGGAATCCTCCATCTCTGAGCCCCTTCCCCTTCAGTACCCACATGGTTGATCTCGTACCCCCTACACTGCAAATGGGGAAAAAAAAGTTCCAAGCAGAGGCTCACTACAGATACAAATGTTTATTCTACATAAAAATTTCACAAAATGGATAGCTGGTTGTACCAAGACCTTTGGTGAAGGGGTGGAGGGAGTGGCCGTGAGAGAAGGCAGCACGGACAGTGGCCACAGTCACTGGGCAGGAGCAAAGCTGAGGGAAGGGGGCACACAGACACGGCCCCAACTCCCGCTGCATGCGCTCGCATGCACACTCCTTGCCTGTGGACAAGAAAAGGTTCCTGGGGCACGGGATACGTTTTTGACTCTGAGAAGCCCCAAGATAGCAGGGGAGGGGAGTAGAGAGCCCCCTCCCCAGCTGGCTGCTGAATACTGCATCCAGTACACCTGACATCACGTGGCACATCAGTGGGAGACAGGGCAGGGTGAAACTGCAGGCCCAAAGTGACACCTGGCTTTTCAGAACATAAAGAGAGCAGGGGACCACTGTCCCCAACATGCAACCCTGGCCGCAACTCAACATGCCTGTTAAGAGACTGTGGGCAGAGGCCTGAGGTCTGCTCCACCTCTTGGCTCCAAGCAAGGCTGGAGAGGACACTATCACGCTTCTTGCAGAAGTTCACTAGGCTCAGGCCCAGCCCAGGGACATGACTCCCGGGGCTGTGGTAAGGGCAGCCGAGGCCAGAGACATTGTCAGCCTTTGCTCAAAGTGGGGATGCTGGGTGCTCCTAACACACCGGCAGCTGTGACACCCTGAGCCTCCTGGCAGTGGTAAGCTAACAAAGACTTCAATGTTGGGCTATCCCTTGGGACACCTCTCCCCTAACCTGAAAAGCAGCACCATGTGACCAGCTGGTCCCCACCCTCCAGGTGCCTTGGCATGGTGGGGAGCGCTGGAGAAGCCAAGGGGCAGGGCAGGGAAGGGCAAGGTTAGGGTCCAGAAAGGAGCCCGAGTCCCAGGGGAGGGTGGACCTCAGGCCTGAAGAAAGACGGACCTGGTCAGGACCCAAGTCTTGCCCACACCGACCTGTCCCCAGCCCCTCTGGCTGTTCCCGATCCTGCTCCCCTCTGCCTCCTGTACAGATACACACTGTCACAAGATCATGCACACGACACGGCTTGGGGCAGGGTGGTAGGAACGGGAGCCTCATGGCAGAGAGGGAGCAGTATGGGATGGGAGGGAAAGGGCTCCCAACCAGAAGGCAGGGATGGGGAGGGCAACCCAGCTAGGCGCAGCAGCCAGAGGCCTCCTCGGGGAGACCCGTCCGGAGTGGAGAGGTGGGTGGAGCTGGTGTCTATCCAAAGATGCCCCCGATAGTGGAGGCGATGACGATGCCCAGAATCACACAGCAAATGATGATCATGATCTTCTTCTGCAGGGAGACAAAGGGCAGGCCTCAGAAGAGCCATGGGAGTACCAGAAAGGAGGAGTCAGAATGAGGGCTCAGGCTGGGGCTGGATAATAGAATGCCAGCCTAGAAGCCCCTCGTGAGAGGCTGGGGGTATAGCTCAGTAGTAGAGCTTTTGTCTAGCATGAGCTAGATCCTGGGTTCCATCTCCCATATGGACAAAAACACCCAAAAATCAGGAAAATGAGGGTTGAGATATGAAGGGTCAGGACAAGGGGTAGGTGATGGCCTAGAATGGGCTGTTGATGGAGCGGTGAAGGCTTTGCTTGGGTTTCTGAAAACGGGACAGAGGAAGGTGGGGAGGAGTGTCTCACAGTCTGGGGGCTCTCCGGGGCACGGGCTTGGACAGAGCTGGCCACTGACCCTGCGCGCCTTGCTCTGGTACTTGACGGCTTTCTTGGTGTCGGACACCGCCCTCTCCACGTAGTCCACAGCGTGTTCCACGTTGTACTCGATCCTGTCAATCATCTCCCCCTGCAGGACCAGGGGTACCCAAGGTCCAGGCCTCCCTCCTCAGAACCAGAAGGGAGCTCAGAGGAGGGATTCGGGAAAGTACCCTGAAGTCAGAGAGAGAGAGAGAGAAGAGAGTGGTGAGGAGGGCAGGGAGCTTCTCACCTGTGCCACCAGGCCAGCCACCTGGCCAGGGCATCTTGAGTACAAGGCATGCTAGGAACAGCTCCCATCTTTCCCAAACAGCAGCCATCCTGGGGGCGAAATCGGCCATGCAGTGTCAGGCAAGGGTGAAGGTCATGCGGAGGGTGGTCTGCTGTGACTGTATGAAGTGCCAGGCAAAGAAAGGCAGGGCGGGAGTGGGTGGGCTGCGGCCTGAGCCGGGCCTGGCCAAGGTTTAGCAGGTGACCGGGGGCAAGCCTCTTACTCTTTCCTTAGGGGCCGGTGCCGATTCTTTTAAAGATTTTATTTATTTATTATGTATACAGTGTTCTGTCTGCATGTACACCTGCATGCCAGAAGAGGGCACCAGATCCCATCATAGATGGTTATGAATCACTATGTGGTTTCTGGGAATTGAACTCAGGACCCCCTGGAAGAACAGTCAGTGCTCTT